ACTTATTTGGACATTTGCAACTAATAAATAAAAAATTAAGAATTTATAAAATTAGATATGCCCACTCTTTTAAACATTAACTTCAGATTTAAACAGATCTTAATGTTTCATTATATCCAAACCTAAACTGTCAGATTCTATTAAATGTTTTAAACACTTTAAGAAACAGAAAAGATATAACCAGAATGTCACAATCATTATACCAAAACCAGTTATAAAAATGTTAACTGTGTAGATTTCATTTTTTTTTCTTATCTTTATTTGAACACTTTACGAGGGTTCCAATTTTCCACATATTTCTAGGTTTATGTTATTCTTTTTTTTTTTTTTTTTTCCGGAGTCTTGCTCTGTCGTCCAAGCTGGAGTGCAATGGTGTGATCTCGGCTCACTGCAATCTCCACCTCCTGAGTGCAAGCAATTCTCCTGCCTCAGCCTCCCAAGGAGCTGGGATTACAGGTGCCCACCACCACACCCAGCTAATTTTGTGTATTTTTAGTAGAGATGGGGTCTCACCATGTTGGCCAGGCTGGTCTCGAACTCCTGACCTCAGGTGATCCACCTGCCTCGGCCTCCCAAAGTGCTGGGATTATAGGCATGAGCCACTGCATCCGACCTTTTTGTTTGTTTGTTTGTTTGTTTCTGAGACAGTCTTGCTCTGTTGCCCAGGCTGGAGTGCAGTGGCGTGATCTCAACTCACTGCAACCTCTGCCTCCTAGGTTCAAGCAATTCTCCTGCCTCAGCCTCCCTAGTAGCTGGGATTACAGGCATGCATCACCAAGCCCGGCTAATTTTTTTTTTTTTTTCTTTTTAGTAGAGATGGAGTTTCACCATATTGGCCAGGCTGGTCTCCAACTCCCGACCTTGTGATCCACCTGCCAATCTTACCAGACCCAAAATAATTATACTCTCTCAAACTAAATTGTAGCATATGCATTAGCAATGCCTCATCCTTGGTCACATTGTCATAAGACCTTGCATGGATGAAATAACTCTTCTTTGGTCTCCTTTTGTAACAAAATGTCACTTGTAATGTGTGGGACATTTTAAGACCTTTTGTATAAACTTTAAATTTTTGAGACTTGAACTTTCCCAAAAGCATCTAGCCATTGTCCGGTCATTTTTATGACAGGACATAATGATCTTTTTAGCTAGCATTATTCCAAAGCCTTTATATTCCTTATTTGTATAATTAAAAGGCCATCCAACTCCTTCTTCGTGAAGAATGTAGTTTTTGTAGTCAGCTTTTCATTGTAAAACATTTGGCTGCTTAATCATTTTGAAACACCTGTTGAATCCTGCTTCTCCTTGGTTATTACTGTATGTAATCATTAGAGCTGATTAACTGTTAGATCATCTTTCTACTTTATTGAAGTAACTATTTTAACCATTAGAACATCTTTCTACTTTGTTGAAGTAACTTTTTCCAAGATTACTGGACTTGCCTAGCACCCCTGTGTTTTTATTTCCTGATTAAACAGTTAAACAGGAACAAATCTATATATACATACATATGTGTGTGTGTGTACATATGCTCGTACCTAGTAAGAAAAAATAGTTATTTTTTAGGCCAATAATGAATGAGGCTGGGTGCAGTGGCTCACACCTGTAATCCCAGCACTCAGGGCAATCACCTGAGGCCAGGAGTTCAAGACCAGCCTGGCCAACAAGTTGAAACCCCGTCTCTACTAAAAATACAAAAATTAGCCGGGTATGGGAGCACACGCCTGTAATCCCAGCTACTCAGGAGGCTGAGGCAGGAGAATGGCTTGAACCTGGGAGGCAGAGGTTGCAGTGAGCTGAGAGTGTACCATTGCACTCCAGCCTGGGCAACAGAGCAAAAACTCCATCTTAATAATAGGCCAGGTGCGGTGGCTTACGCCTGTAATCCCAACACTTTGGGAGGCTGAGGCGGGCGGATCACCTGAGGTCGGGAGTTCCAGACCAGCCTGACCAACATGGAGAAACCTCATCTCTACTAAAAGTACGAAATTAGCCAGGCAAGGTGGCCCATGCCTGTAACCCCAGCCACTCGGGAGGCTGAGGCAGGAGAATCCCTTGAACCCGGGAGGCGGAGGTTGCAGTGAACCGAGATCGCGCCATTACACTCCAGCCTGGGCAACAAGAGCAAAACTCCGTCTCA